AGGCTCAAGTTCGAGCACCCCGCAGTTTTGTTGCACTCAGCAGCTAACCGGAGCAGGTGATTTGCTAGTTTCAAAGGGACAACACAGAAGAGCTATCTTCTGTCCCAGCCCTCAGAGCTGCCCAGCAATCTGTCATCCCTGGTGAGTGGGAGCCGATGAAATGCCATGCTCAGCTTCAGAATTGGTCCAGACCTCACAGCTCCTTCAACCCAAGCCTCTCGTTCCCATTCCGTAGATAAGGAAATCAAGTATGGCGGAGCTCGGTATTTTGTTGTAAAACTTGACATGGTGGTTTGAGTCGGGATAGCCCCATAGACTCATGTGTTTGAAAGCTTGGCTACAGGGGAGTAGCACTATGAGGAGGTGTGGCCTTGTTGAAGGAAGTACGTCAGTGTGGGGGCAGGCTCTGAGGTCTCGGAAGCTCAGACTTGTCAGCGTGTCACAGTCTCCTGCTGCCTGGGGATCACGGCGTAGAACTCTCAGTGCCTTCCATGGCTGCCTGCACACCACCATGCTTCCCATGACGGTAATAGACTAACCCCCTGAAACTATAAGCCACCACCTCAATTAAACGTTTTCCTTTCTAAGAGTTGCTGGGAGCCAGGTGGTGGTTGTGCACGCTTTGAATCCCAGCGCTCTTTTGCTTGTTTGCTGTTTCTCTTTCGAGACAGGGTTGCTCCGTAGCTTTGGATCCTGTCTTAGAACCAGCTCTGTAGACCAGGCTGGCCCCTAACTCACAGAGATCCGCCTGCCTCTGCCTCCCGAGTGCTGGATTAAAGGTGCGCCACCACCGCCCGGCACCAGTGTTCATGCTGATGAGGATTAAAATGAAAAGAAGCAAGGTGAGCCAGGAGAAACACGACACAGACAGACTGAAGAGAAGGGGCACCAGAGAGTGTGGTGGAGGCACACCTCCTCAAAGGACACAAACAGGTCTAAAAAAGTGCTGACTGCAGCCGGGCGTTGGTGGCGCACGCCTTTAATCCCAGCACTCGGGAGGCAGAGGCAGGTGGATCTCTGTGAGTTCGAGGCCAGCCTGGTCTACAAAAGCTAGTTCCAGGACAGCCTCCAAAGCCACAGAAAAACCCTGTCTCGAAAAACCAAAAAAAAAAAAAAAAAAAAAAGTACTGACTGCTAAATGGAATAAAGGGAGTGGTGACTTCAGGGCGAGACCCCATCCAAGGTTCCAACTTGTGAAAAGCACTTAAAGAAAAGCTTAGGTCGAGACATGGTGGTGCACATCTTTAACCCCCAATACTCAGAAGAAACAGGCAAATGTATCTCTGAATTTGAGGCCAGCCTGGCCAAGTTTAGGTAGTGAAGGAGACCACTGAAAACAGAAAGCTGGTGAATAAATTTTTAGAAATATTTAAAAAGCCAGGCATAGTAGGAAGCCAGGGGAGACAGATGCCTCCCTCTGTAAGGTCAAGGACAGCCAGGAATACATAGTGAGACTCTGTCTCAAGACAAAGAAAGAAAATTTAGAGACTGCTTTGCTTGTTTTTATTTTGGGCTGTTCTAACAGAGTTCCTATTTATTGTCACTAAAGTCACTCCTTCTGGATCAAAGAATCTGGAAGTGACCGGCCACCGTGTGAACTTTTCTCACCTTTCACACTGTGGAGAGAAGCAGCCCCGCCTCTGCTCTGCTGGGAGCCTGTACAGGCTCATTCAGAAGAGTTCAGATGGCAAAGGTCTGTTCTGGAAGCAAAGCACCTTCTATGGATGTGAGCGCCCGCTCTTCCCAACGGCCCTGAGCTCTGGGCTCTCTGCTAAGAGGGCACAGGCACAATACTTCCCTCAGCAGACAAGGCATTAAAAATGCTATGCATCATGGCAACGTTTTTATGCTTCAATAATAAACAAACAACTAATACAGGGGGGAGCTGAGAAACATCCTTTTAATTGTTTACTTGCTCTAATAACAACAGTGCAATTAATAACGACTATTTATGGGGCAAATACAAAGTAATAAATAAACACTACCGTGTTTCTTTACAAATAGGGCATTTCATTTAGCCTTCACGGTAACCCTGAGGGAAGTATTTTTATTCCCAATTTCATAGATTAGGAAACTGAGGCCCAGACAGATTTGTCAATCATATGGGTAAGAGAATCTGAACACCAACAACAACAACATGGACTCCAAAGTTCTTGCCTCTACTGCTCTGTTTCAAAATAAAAAAAGAAGCCAGAGGTTTTGAAAAAACTGAAGATTCTTCCTGTAGAGCAAAAGTAATGTTTCAGGGCCATCAAGGTGGCTCAGCCCTGGGGCGTTGGTGGTGCACAACTTTAGCCCCAGCACTTGGGAGGCAGAGACAGGTGGATCTCTGAGTTCGAGGCCAGCCTGGTCTACAAAGTGAGTTTCAGAACAGCCAAAGCTACACAGAGAAACCCTGTCTCCAGAAACAAAAACAAAGCAAAAAGGATGGCTCGGTAGGCAAAGGTACCTCAGTTCGATCCCTACGATGCACATGGTAGAAGCAGAGAACTGACTCCCACAAACTGTCCTCTGACTTCCACATGAGCACTGTGGCATGCACACACCTGCACACACCCACACCTGCACAAACCCACACCTGCACACATCTGCACACACCTACACACACCTGCACACACACCTGCACACACCTACACACACATCTGCACACACCTACACACATATACCTGCACACACATACCTGCACACATCTGCACACACCTGCACACACACCTGCACACACACATACCTGCACACACGCACACACCCACACATCTGCACACACCTGCTCACACATACCTGCACACATCTGCACACACCTACACACACCTACACACACATACCTGCACACACCTGCACACACACCTGCACACACATACCTGCACACATCTGCACACACCTACACACACATCTGCACACACCTACACACGCCTGCACGCACCCACACACCCACACACCCGCGCACACCTGCACACACATACCTGCACACATCTGCACACACCTACACACACGCCTGCACACATACCTGCACATACACACACACATCTGCACACACATACCTGCACACATCTGCACACACCTGCACACACACCTGCACACACACATACCTGCACACACGCACACACCCACACATCTGCACACACCTGCTCACACATACCTGCACACATCTGCACACACCTACACACACCTACACACACATACCTGCACACACCTGCACACACACCTGCACACACATACCTGCACACATCTGCACACACCTACACACACATCTGCACACACCTACACACGCCTGCACGCACCCACACACCCACACACCCGCGCACACCTGCACACACATACCTGCACACATCTGCACACACCTACACACACGCCTGCACACATACCTGCACATACACACACACATCTGCACACACATACCTGCACACATCTGCACACACGCACACACATCTGCACACACAGACACACTAAATAAAATAGCAATAAATAAACAGTTATTTGAAATAGCACTTTAAAAAGCTGGCTTCCTATAGTCCAGTAGACGAAAATAAAGAAAACAAAAGACCATTAGTGCGTCACATCTGGCAGTCTGAAGGCACAAAGGTCACTCATCTCCCATTGTCCTCCTCGCCACTTCCTGATGTGACCATTTTTCCACTGATTATTATCTTAGCATACCAGAATGCAATGATCCCTCCACAGCAAACTCACAGAGAACAGTTGACACAGTCGGAGAACTCACTGGCACAGGAAGGAAGAGAAATCAGTGGCAGGAAGTGAGGCTTATCTAAAAACACAGTGTCACTGCACAATGTGTGGCCACCATAACCCCACGGCACTTTAATCCATTGCTGCCTTTGCCTCCCCAGGTATTATATTATATGTGCTGCTAAAATCTGGCTCCTAAACTTTCTCCATGTGTCTAACAAGTTCCACAGCCAATAAAGACTATCATTCCTCTTCTGCTTGAAGAAGGGGGCGGGATGGGGGCTGCAGCTCAGTGGTGAGGAGAGAGAACAGGAGGAGTCAGAAAAGAGAAGGTCCAGGAGTGGGGGAAGGAGGGGTGGGAGAGGGAGAGAGCGAAGGGGGTAGGGAGAGAAGGTAGGGGGAGGTCACAGGTCAAAGGATTACACCTGAAGGAAAGACAACAGGTGTGGGGACACAAACTCTAACACCAAGTAGCCTGTGGCAGGCAGAAATCTTAAATTCAGTAAACACACACTCCTTTCACTTCCCAAGCCACCACCCAAAACAAACTGAACCAGTAACCCAACAATGGATGGACAATTGCTCCGAGTGTCAACACACACCGAGAAGAGAAAGAAAAGCTAAGAAAGTAAGTTGCCTGGGAGGCCTGCTCTCCAGCAGAACCGGGGAATAAAAGGGTGTGATGCGGCTACACAAGAACAGTACTTCTCAGGGAGGAAGAAGTTAAACTGGATTGCACAAACGATTAGAAAATGCCAAGGGAGTTAACTTCACTCTCCATCCTGGGACCACCCTATAGGAATTTCTAACGCCAAAGGGCCAACTCAAGGCAAAGTAAGGTCAGGCTTTCCCGGCTCACGCCCCTGCAGGCCTGCCCCAGGCTCGCCCACCAGAACCCCTGGGGAGTCCACAGGGAAGACGGGAGGAACGTGTTGGGCTAGGGAGCCAGGGCCAAGGGCCACCCTCAGGCAAGCGGCCACCACGCTGTGGGAGACCCCTGAGGAGTTCTGCTGAAAGTGGGAAGCGGCTGTGCAGGTGGCCCTCCCGGGCCAGGCTGACAGCGGCAACTCCCCCAACTCCACCGCCCCTCGCACCGGGTCCCCGGACACCTCCCGGCTCAAGTTCCCCGCCCCCAGACCCTAGTCTGCACCCCACACCCAAGCCGGCCAGGCTCCTCTGAGACAGCTGCTCCAACCTGGGCTACCCCGACGCCAGCCCTCCGGCCTCGGGGGCGCCCCAGGCCCGCGGCATTCCGGGATCAGGATCCGGAAGGCTTGGGGTCCAGTCCCCCACTCCCCTCGGCGTCCTGGGCTCACCTCCCCGGCAGCTTGGCGCTCCTCTTCCAGAACTGCTTGCTGTTCTCGGCGGCCATCGCTCCGGCCCGGGGGAAGGCCTGGTCGGTGGGTCACGGGGGCGCCCCGCGACAGGCCCCCGGGACCCCGCAATCTGAGGGCCAGCCCAGGCCGCTTCCCCGCCGCCGGTCACCCGCTCCCAGCTCCTGGGGGCGCCATCTTGGATGTGGGCACTCCCCCCGCCCAGCGCCCTTGCCATTGGTGGGTTGAGCAGGCCGGTGGGCGGATGGACCAATGAGGATCCGGGATCCTGCGGGCCGCTGAAGCCCCGCGGCAACGTCACGGGCTGGGCACACAGGTGGGCCGGGGAGGCGGAGCTAAGCTGGGCAGGAAGGCGGGGCTGAAAGTTCCTACTCGGTGGAAGCAGAGAACCAGGTAATAAAAAAAAAAGAGACCTACTGGGAAGTAGGAGATGAGACTGTTGCTTTTGATGGGCTGAGGTTCTGGGTCTCATGAGGGGCGAGAGAAGGGGATACTATAACATTTATATACAGAAATCTTTAGCCTACAAGTAAAGCCTCATGTGATAACTGTAGACCTTTTTTGAACGTCTCCCAACTCAATGGTACCCAGGGTTGTTACTTCCCCTAGTTCCCTTCCCATCCCAGCTTCTTAGAAGACAGGTTTGGCTAGAGCCCCGAGTGGGTAACTGTAGCCTGAGTAGCAGTTGGCTCATCAGAACCCCCCTCTCTTCTGCTAACTGAACCCCGTGCTTCAAGTGATGCAATCCCTCCTTCAGGTCTTTTTCTTCCTGCTTACGAGGATCCAGATACTGAGAAATCATGTTTAGGAAATACTGCCTTTCCCTCCCAGTTCGTCTCCACGGCACCAATGAGGAAGATGAAAGATGATATCCTTAACTTCCCTTGTTAACCGATTGTAAATCTTCCTCCTTTAGACCCATTGTCAACATAATTTTGACTCAAAGTGTGATTCGACTTTAGCATGTTGACCCCTTTGGGCGTTGTGCGCATAACTCCTCTTTTTTAGTGTTTCTGTCCTAGGGCGATTTGAGGGGAAATGAAGGGAGGGTGCTTCCTACTCCAAAGTTTTTGTTCAAATAAAGGACTGTGGGCATGTGTAGGTTGTCCACCCTGTCCATCCCTGAACTACCACCCTATGGTTTCTAAGTATGGGAAAGTTTTTATTTTTATTACATTTATCTGTGCCTGCGTGTGTGTGTGTGTGTGTGTGTGTGTGTGTGTGTGTGTGTGTGTGTGTGTGTGTGAAGTGTGGAGGGTAGAGATCAGAGGACAACTTGCAGAATTCAGTTCTCTCTTTTCACCACTTAGGTCCATGGAATCAAACCCAAGTCCTCAGGCTTGGCAACAAGCCCTGTTACCCACTGAGCCATCTTGCTGACCTAACATTTTGGAGAATTCCTAAGGCTCCTTCTACCCCCACCTAAAAAATAACCTTGTTTGATATGTTTTCCAGAGATGTCTTTCTACATAGATATTACTCCCAGTTTTCAAGCTTCTTTTGCTTGTTAGTTTCAAAATAATAGGATCATGGACCTGGAGAGATGGCCCACGGGTTAAAAGCATGTGTAGCTCTTGCAGAGGACCCGAGTTCAGTTCCCGGCACCAACAACTAGTGGTTCACAACTGCCTGTAATTCCAGGTCCAAAGGATCTGACACCCCCTTTTGACTTCTGGGGACATCACAAGCATGTGGTGGATACTCACACACACATAAATAAAAATAAACAATCTGTTAGAGGAATGATAGGGTTGTATGAAAAAGGCCACTTCTACTGAACCTTCATTCTTTTATAGACGTGCAGCTTATCTTCTTTCTTTCTTTTTTTTTTTTTTTGTTTTGTTTTGTTTTGTTTTCTGAGACAGGGTTTCTCTGTTGTAGTCTTGGCTGTCCTGGAACTCAGACCAGGCTGGCCTCAAACTAACAGAGATCCTCCTGCCTGCCTCTGCCTCCTGAGTGCTGGGATTAAAGGCACGAGCCGCCACCACCGTTCATGCCTTCTCTGTCATCTTACCTGCCAGCATTGCACACCAACCCCTAAGAAAGTGGAGAGAATTTTCTCAGTTGGGGGAGCGGTGGAAACTGAACAGTCTATGCTTCTCCTTCTAAAGTCCCAAAGCCAAACAAAAGTTTGACTCTACCAAAGTTCCCCTTGGGAAAGCAATGAGTTTATTAGGCTTACTTACAGAGCATGTGAGGGGTTATAGTTAGCAGTGTGGGCAACCCTAAACAGTCCTTCTGAGAAGTCTGCACGGGGCATGAATTCTTACTTCCCCACTGTCACCCACATGGAGCCCCTCTCCCAGTCGGTTTACTCTACCCGCTCCCTAAGACCTCAAAGTCTGCATTATCTGGACCATCAGGTTAGCGTCCCACCCATGACCCTTCCCATTACTCCCTTACTTCTATGAGGGAATGCCAGCTGCCAACAAGCCCATCGGTGATAATCCTTTGCAAGCAGGGAGCTGAAGTCGTGAAAATAGTGGTTATTTGGCTCTCAAGATAATGTTATACAAGAGAAAAATATACTGAAGTCTTGTTGGCAACTAATGCTATTGTCTTTATTTCTTTTTTCTTAATATTTTTACATGTATTTCTTTTTATTTTATGTATATGAGTATGAATATGTACTGGACCTGGAGCGATAGAGAGTTGTGAGCCACTATGTGGGTGCTGGGGATTGAACCTGCATCTTAACCACTGAGCTATCTCTCCAGGGTCCTTTGCCTTCATTTTAAGTGAACTTTTGCTGGCCTTGTGGACTTGAGAGGAGCTGATGTCACACTGGTGGTACATGACTGTAATTCTAACGCTTGGGGGCCTGAGAAAGGACAAGAGCTGCATGTTCAAGGCCAGCATGGGCCAGGGCTACATACCAAGATCTCCTACTTAGGGGAAGGGGGCGGGGAGGGGTGGGGGTAATGTCTGATGTGGGGGGCATATGTATGTCTGTGCGTGTGTATGGATGAGCATGCATGTGGAGACCAAAGGTTCATGTGCTATCAGGTTCTCTCCCCGAACCTGAAACTCAGTGATTGCCTAGACCGGCTGCCTGGTGAGACGTCCACCTGTCTCCATCCTCCCTACCACCACCACCAGTATGAGGGTTATAGCGGGATGTCCAGGATCCAAACTCAGAAACTCATGCTTCCATGACAGGCACATTGGCGACTGAGCCATCTCTCCAGCCCCTTTGATATCTTTTTTTTTTGGGGGGGGGGTTTCGAGACAGGGTTTCTCTGTGGCTTTGGAGCCTGTCCTGGAACTAGCTCTTGTAGACCAGGCTGGTCTCGAACTCACAAAGATCCGCCTGCCTCTGCCTCCGGAGTGCTGGGATTAAAGGTGTGCACCACCAACGCCCGGCACCTTTGATATCTTGAAGGGTAATTTTCCTTGACTTCTAGTTGCTTTCCTTGGTGCCAGCTGCGTCTAAATCATCTTCTCCTATAGAAGCTGCCTTATCCGTGGCTGTGCGGCAAGACAATGTCTGCCTTGCAGCTTACATATATGGTTTTAGAAATGTTCTGGAAGGGGCTCCCTGCCTTCGTCACTTTTCCCGTTGCTGTATAAAATCCCGACAAAGGCAGCTTAAAAGAAAAGGCTTGCTCTTGGATCACAGTTCCAGGTTGAAGTCACTGAGGAGAGTTGGGGCCCAGGAGTAGGAACCTGAGGCAGCGGGTCACATGACAGCCACGGTTAGAAACCAGAGATGGATGCCTGTGCTCTCAGCTCCCACCCTCCTCCTTATACAATCAAGTATCCTATCCCAGGGAATGGCTTCACCCATCATCAGATAGGCTCTTCCTACCTTAATTAGCCCACCCCAGATAAACCCCACAGGAATGCCCAGAGGCCTATCCACCCCACTCCCAGGGTTATGAATCTCATCAAGTTGACATTTGAGATCAGACATCACACTCCCTGTTTTATCATTATTGTTTTGAGGCAGGGTATCCTGTATCCTAGGCTGGCCTTGAACTCCTGACCCTACTGCCTCCACTTCCTGAGTGCTGGATGACAGGCTATTGCTAAGGTGCCTGGCTAAGATGCTCCCTGTGGGCTTGACATTTTACTACCTGGAAAGGAGAGGATAATCTTCGAACCTTGAATAATTGCCCCAAAAAGAATCCCTTCCTAAAACTCATTTATGAAACGTTAAATAACGCTGACTCCCAAGGGGCGTGCTTAACATTGCTCCGCTCAGAGATGCCCTATTATCCCTGCTCTCTGTTCTCTCTCCGGAAGAAAAGCCACAGTCACCTGATGCTAACATTTTAAATAATATGTGATAGGGCAGCAAGAATATTATAAACCCTCTCACCCCACCTCTACCACAGGCACCCTAATCTAGACCAATTGCACCCCTTTTATTGTATTCGTTTACTTGGAGATAGAGTTTCCACTGTGCGGCCCTAGCCAGCCTGGAATTATACAGCCCAGCCTGGCTTCAGACCCTCACAGATCTACGTGCCCCTGAGTGCTGGGACAGAATGTGTGCACCCACCGCGCCTGGCCAATGGTTTCTGCTGAAGACTGGACCCTGAGCCTTGTGCACACCAGACAGGCATTCTCCCAGGACCTCGGTTGTGCCCCACGGCAGACTTATATTTTTCCTTGCTGCGTCTTAGCTCCTTCAGGTACTACTCTTCCCACAGAAGCCAAGGAGCCTATTAAAATGTAGTTCACATCACGTCCCTCTGCTCAGAACCTTGCAGGGCTTCCCATCACGCTTGGCCCAGAAATCGAGCTTCTGACCCAGACATGATGACACAGGCCTGTGATCCAGACATGATGGCAGAGGCCTCTGACCCAGACATGATGGCACAGGCCTGTGAGGGAGGGGGGGGGGGGGGTAAGAGGCTAGCTGCACAGTGAGTTCAAGGTTCAAGGGCAGTCTGGGATAAGAGAGGCTGTGTGTGTGTGTGTGTGTGTGTGTGTGTGTGTGTGTGTGTGTGTCCGTGTGTGTGTCTGTGTCTTTTGTGTCTTTGTGTGTCTCTGCGTATCTATGTGTGTGTGAGTCTGTGCGTATGCATGTCTGTCTGTGGGTATTTAATGTATCTGTTTCTATGTATGTATGTGTGTGTCTGTGTGTCTGTGTGATCACAGTTCAGGGCTTACTAAGTACTCACTGAGTGTGGGGATTGCAAGGATAGATAGTCGGTGTCTTTGGGTTCATGTTGTTTTGCACAGTTTTTTGTTTGTTTGTTTGTTTTTCGAGGCAGGGTTCCTCTGTGGCTTTGGAGGCTGTCCTGAACTAGCTTTTGTAGACCAAGCTGGCCTGGAACTCACAGAGATCCGCCTGCCACTGCCTCCCGAGTGCTGGGATTAAGGGCGTGTGCACCAACGCCTGGACTTGTTTTGCTAAGCCCGATGGTCTGGGCTTGATGCCCGAG